CGAAGACCCCCCATGAGCTCATGGTTGCTGCCCCCTGGTGCAAACTCTTTGCATGCAACCTGGGTTTACTCCTTGCCCCCTTCTCTGTCCCAGCCCGCCCCCCCGGGGTAGCTCTGGGTGGCCACCCCCCTCCCTGGGCAGCGGCCTGCCATGGGCGCCCCAAGCCAGATTGCCCCCAGTTGCCCTCAATGTTGCCCTCCAACCAAAGGGTGTGGAGGCATTTTCTCACCCAGAGGCTGCTCACCTCCCTCCTGGCTGGGGCCATACAGGATGGTAGCCTCAGCAGGTCTCCTTGAGGGCATTCGGTCCACCCCCCACCCCAAAAAGTGGCCCTGTCAGGTGAGGGGAACACCCAGCTCCCCGTCCTCGGAGCGCTTCCATGGGGATCCGGCTGTGCTGGGGAGCCCCTCTTGGCCTGCTCCTTGCAAAGCTCTTCCAGGCAGCCTCTGTTTTTGGGGGACCCCCGTTCCTCCAGGGAGGGCCCCCCATTGGCTGTCTCCGCCTTTCTCTCCTCCGCTTTCTCCTCCATCAAGCGGGGTCTGACTGGTGCAGAAGAGAGTCAGGTTGACGCCTGTCACTCGAATGGAGGCGCCAGCTGGGATCGCCTTGGCCTTTTGGGAAGGAGCCAGGGGGCCCTTGGCTGCCTTGCTCTGCCTTGTGCTCCGGTGTATCCCGGGGGCTTCACACCCCCAGCGGAGAACTCCCCCTCCTCCTCCTCCTGTCTCTCTCAAGCCGCGCAAGAGCCATTCCCGCTCTTCCTGGCAGGGAGAGATGGATGCTGGCCCAGAGGCAGCCTAGGGAGGGGGCTTCACTTCTGCCGGGAGCCTTTTTCTCCTGGCTTCCTTCCTCATTAAGAACCAAAAGGGAACCTTTGGGTCCGAGGGGGCAGTGGGGGGGGGCAGAGGCAGAAAAGGCGGCCCCTTCCCTGAACCTTTTGGGTCTGGCCCTGCTCCGAGGGCAGAACATTTTCCTCTGCCCCAGCTCAGAAGGAGGCGAAGGCGGAAGTGGGGGTCGCTCGAGGAGCAGCTCTTGCCCCCCCCAGCCCCCACCCTCTGGCCAAGGACCACAATGCAGGCAGAAAAGGCAAGGGGGGGGGAAGCCGCTGGGGAGGCACCGGCAGGCGTGGGGGGCATCTGGTGGGTGACGGCCTCGGTGCCGGGCTCGGCTGCGGGCAGCCCTCTGCCAGGTGTGGGGCCAGCGGGTTGGGCAGCCGCCGAGCAGCCTGTCAAGCGGCATTAGTGCCAGGGCTGACGGCCGGCGGCTCTCCTGTCAGGAAGATCTGACTCATCCATTCTAGCTGTCCAGACGCTGCTGCTACTGACATTATCTTAACGTTTTGTAATCATGAAATATTAATGGCGGATATTGAATTTAAAGTGCAATTTATGTCTGGATCCCTGGCTGGAAAGGGCAGCCGCGAAGGTAAGCCTGCAGAGTGCCTTGCCGGGGGGAGGGGGGGTGGCTCCTGCAGCTGGCAGGGAAGGCCAAGCAGGGTGGGGGAGAGGAGCCCACTCCCCCATCCAGGCCGTGCCTCAACCCCTTTGAGGGCGGGAGCAGAGGGGCCCCTCTGGCAGGGCTTTGGTGGGGAGGGGCTGCTGGCAGGGAGGAACCAGGAGCCCCACAGCTGACAGCCGTAGCGGGGGGGCCCTCTTCTCCAATTCTGTTGGCGCAAATGCCATGGCTTAATTTTAGGCTGGGGGGGCTGTACCCAGTTTTGTAGAGGGAGGGCTGAGCTTGTCCAGGGATTGGGGGCCTCCAATGTGGAGGCAGCAGCTGGGCCACCAGGGGTCCTGCCCACTCGGCTGTGGCAGTTTTGGGGCACCGGGCTGTGAGCGTGGCTGCCCAGGAGGCCGTGGGCTGCTGGCTCTGCAGGTTGGCCGAGTTCCGGCTGAGGTTTCTGCAAGGGAGCCCCCCGCACTGCCCTTCGCCCTCCTTGGCCCTGGCAGGAGCGGAGACGGTGAGAGCCCCTCCAGGGCCCGCTTTAACCAGCGCTGCAATTTGGGCCACTGACTCATTGCCCCCTGCCCCCCACCTGAAAGAGCAGAGAGGGAAGAGGGGAGCAGAAGTGGCCATGGGTCCCCCACCCCTCTCCCTCTGAGCCCTCCTCATGCCCGATGCAGCTGAAGGAAGGGGAGGGGTCTCATCCTTCTCGGCCAGCTTTCTTTTCTGCCCGGCTGCTTTCATTGGCTCTCACCATCAGAGGTAGAGGCTTCCTTGCATTGGGGACCTGGCACTGGGTGGGGCATTCTCCCCCCCCATCCATCTTACCTGGTTGGACTGGCTGTAGCCCCCCCCATTGATGCCCCTTTGTGGGGCTCCCCCAGTTCAAGTGCACCCCCCAGTTTCAAATACATTCCTCCCCCTCCCCC